GGTGGATCTTTAGACAGAAAGACATGCGAAGTTGCAACTCTTGATTCTTGAACTAAACATGTTAGCTGTCTCCTCACATTTGCCATGTCATAAACTTACTTTGCCTAACATAATTAAAATTTTATCAAGAATTTACATATCATTACAAATATTGGATTATCTCTCCAATTATATTCACCATCCAATCACAAACTCGTTAAGTCAAAAGTTTATTCACCTAATGACCTAATCAAAATCAACTTCTCCTAATTCAATGTTAATCAATGGTTGTGACTTGCGACCTGTATACAAAGGAAAGTCAATATAATGATTAATTAGATGTTAAGACTTCATCCGACTAATTAATATTTTGATATTTTTTTCTTCCATTATGTAAATCGACTTATCTATGTTCATAATCAATAGATATTTAATTAAACATTAGACTAATTGTATACGATTTTTAAATCTACTGATGGATAAGCAGCCCCATGTTCCAATTATGCGATTGCATGTTAGCCTGCAAATTTTTATCTTTAATATATTAAAAAAAAGGATTTTGAGGAATCTCGTTTTAATTAATCAAAATAATTTCTTAATTTTTCCTCCCTTTTTATACATCACTTCCATTTTCATCACATTCACAACTCTCTCTCATAATCTCATAACCTCTCTCACTCTTAAACCAAAACACAAGAAGAAGCATTTAGAAAGAGAGAGAAATGGGTTCCAAGATTGTTCAAGTTTTATTGATATTGACTCTCTTCGCCACGTCAGCACTTGCTCAAGCTCCGGCTCCGACTCCGACCGCCACTCCTCCTCCACCGGCCGCCACTCCTCCTCCGGTCGCAACTCCTCCTCCAGTGGCCACTCCACCACCAGCCCCAACACCAGCCCCAACCACCACTCCACCACCGGCAGCGACACCAGCTCCGGCCACTACTCCACCATCGGTTGCTCCTTCACCGGCTGATGTTCCCGCCGCCTCTCCACCGGCGCCGGAGGGTCCCGCCGTGAGCCCAAGCGGAGCTGCTCCAGGACCTTCGGATGCGCTTCCCCCAAGCTCCGCTTTCTCCAACAAGGCTTTCATCGCCGGAACCACCTTCGCCGCTATTATGTACGCCGCCGTTTTGGCTTGAGATCTTTCTTTTTTTTATTTACATTATTTTTTTTCTCAAAATTCATGTTTTTATTCTTTTTTAAATATCTTGGTGTTATGTGAGAATTCGATTTATTTTCGTATTTCGCTATTTGATCGTTTAAATTTTTTATCAATGTGTGTTGGATCGGGGAAAAGTTTATTACTTATCTTGGTGGGAAACAAATGGAATGTTGACACGTGTAATTTACCATTGGAAGGACTTCATGGTCTGTGTAGAGGTGGAATCTGTTTATGTAAATCCAATGATAATAAAATGATTTCATCATTTTTTCGTTTGAATTATTTCTCACAAATTCCTTAAGCAATAGCAATCTATTCCGATCTTGCTTTCTTGAAAACAAAATAATTAAAAAATCTCCTCGAGACATACACACGAGCTAATCTTGGAAAGGAAAGATGGAACATAGCAAACCAAAAGGATGTCGAGGAAAAGATAGAGGATTCACAATCCCAAAGTGGACTAGGAAGACCCCCATAAACGAGATCAATGCCTTTTGTATCGATTCATGGTCCACTAACTAGACTACGGTGGTTTTTCTAAGATAACATAGATCATACCACATTAAGAATATAAGAGAGTGCCGGAAAAACATTTTGGTTCTACAAGCAGAGCTGGACGGGCTTCTTTGGATGATGGCTTGCCTTGGAGAGAGGGGAGTCACTTCAATAAAAATTCGAAATGGACTGCGTAAACTTGATACAAATGACGGGAAACTCCTTTCGATTGGCTAGCTTTTTTTATTTAGAGTTAGACTATTTTTCTATTCTTAAGAGGTATTCGAAGGTTTTAGTTTGTCTTTCATCTTTTGAAGTGAAAATATATGTGCCGATACTTTTACAAAAGTTGTACGAGTACATGATTATCTTTTTTCCCATGTAGAGATTGGGAATAATTTGTCCCACGGGACAATTAACATAACGCTTGCAATTGGTTTAATATATGGTGTTCGTTGAAACGAAAAAAAAAAAAAATTCTCGATGTAATTCGAGACTTCTCGCATATAATGAAATGCAACTGATCTACACTTCATCAATTATTT